TGAAAACATAACAGCATCGGCTATAAACAAGTGAGGGAGAAAAAGTCAAGAGGCTGTCCACTTGGTTTTCAGCCTGTCAGCCAGTCATTTAAATATTGACGTATCGCAGAAGACTATAGAGATGGCTTTATACTAAGTAATTCATCAGGATACCCGCGAAGATCAAACACATGAAGTGAGGCTGAAAGACAGACAAGATTAACTGCGTTGAATCCACTATTTCCCTATAACGGTGATGATTGGGGTTCGATCGTAAGTAAAATCGTAGCATTTAAATGATGATTTTCCGTGCGGGTGAGCTATCCCCATGTAGATTGGTACAGCACGGTCTTATTAATTATTTTTAGCGTCCCTTTGTTTTGAGGAAATGGCTGACAAGCTTGCTATATTTTTACATATTAAATGTCATATAGGTATAGATATACATCAAATGGTTTAGTGGTTAAGCAACAGTTAAAATATTTCGTTTCCAACTGGGGGCGCTAAACTTGTGAGGTTTCCGCTAAGGTGTCAATTGGGTAATAGAAAAAAAAAAACGGTAGATTTCGTTTTTATATTTTTGTGTTTGTCAATGATAAAGAAATGAAAGAAAAAAAAAACAAAACAAAAAAAAAATTCTCCCAATAATACGCATGCGCACAAACTTTGTTAATGATGATTGATTTTTTTACGGCTTATCAACTCTTTGTGGGTTACTTAAACCCGAGTCAATTTTTTTTGCGTGTGAACATTGCGTTAACAGTATTTGGTATATAACAATGACATTTCAAGATACAAGTCCTACTATTTAACCCATAGATGGTGGGAAGAGATGTATTCATACATTCCCAATATTACATGTGCGTACGTAAATGTAACAGACCCAACAGGGATTCGAACTCGGCTCTCTAATTTCTCATTCCGAGCCACTATCTACTCTCACACCCTTCTGTTAGGTAAATAATTTCCAACCCATATAAGAAAAAATACAATCTTCACATGCATCTCCTATTATGCAAATTAGTGAATTTCGATTTTTTTTTTATTAAAAAAACCTATTTCATTAAAATGTCCGAACTTCATAGATTTTATAATTGTAACAATTCAGTAAATACAAGGCTCGAGAGCAATTCAAGGTAGTGGGTTACTGTTAAAATTGTCATGATTGATGACGTGTGTAATATGAATGAAAGGGGAAGTAATAAGAACTTCAGATTATCAGGATATACCTTGTGTAACGGAGAGAGAGAGAGAGAGAGAGAGAGAGAGAGAGAGAGCAAGCAGTCGTTGAATTTGCTTAGCAAATGATGAATTCAATTGGCTTCGAAGCGTTTTTACTGACAGAAGTCTCTCGTTAAGTCTGAGACGTCGACTCTTAAAAACGTACGTGTGGTCAATTTTACTGTACAGTTCCGAGGCGTGGACCCTAAACGCCAAAACTAAACAGACGCTCCAAGAAGCGGAAATATGGTTCTATCGGTAAATGTTAAAAATTCCTTGGATTGCTCACGAAACGAAAGACCCAGTTCTTCAGCGAGTTCAACAAGAACCATTGAGCGCCGACAGAAAAGATTCTTGGCATAAATAATTCGAAAACAAGAATTTGAAGATCATTGTCTGGGATGACAGTTACGTGGTTAAAAGACAGGGGAAGACAGCAGACCATCTTTGCTCTTTCCTTCGATCCTAGACCACTCTGGGACAGCGCCGTTAACCTCTCTGATATCGTACCATTCGCACATTGGTGTATCATCAACGGCATTTCAAACGAAAAACTAATTGATTTTTCATTTAATTCTTGATTTTTTAGAGCAATTCTCGGGCCACATAACATTTTACAACTGTTAATTAAGCCGGATTGATTACAGAAAATGAATTAATATCTGGAGAGATCTGAACTCGCTTTACCGATCTGTCAAAGGAAATCAACCGTGAAGCGAAGTTCAGATTTAGTCGTATAGCAAATCTATTTCCATCTTATTTTATCCTCGCCATTATGTTTATTTACATCAAGTTAGCAATAGACATGATAATCTTAAGTTGTGTGAATTAGTTTGAGGAATCAGTTTCATTGTTAGCAATATTCTATTAATTTATCATTTATCTTAATATTGCTTATTTTGTTTTTGGTTTGTTTTCTTTTATGGCATATCAACCTCAATGGGTTATTTAATGCCGACGAGATTTTTATTGCTGGTAATATTTTTTTCAAAAAATATATTGCTGATAATATTTTTTCTTCAAAAATATGTTGCTGATAATATTTTGTTTCCAAAAATGTATTGCTGGCGATATTTTGTTTCCAAAAATGTATTGCTGGCAATATTTTGTTTCCAAAAATGTTTTGCTGGTAATAATTTTTTGCAAAAATGTATTGATAGTATTAAAACCTATTTTTACACTTTCATAGTGATTTGACCCCAGTCCCGGGTAAGACGATAAACTACGTCCAACAGCAAGGCCTCTGATCAGGAGGTTTTGAGGAGCGTGGAACCTCTTAGTTGCTGGTGTTCCCAGGTTCACCTTGACCCGGGTTGGTAGCACCTGTTACGGTCCCAGCTATGGGCAAATAGTTACTCCCCCCACCGCCAAATAGGTGTCAAAACAATATGAATGTATAAAAATAGGTCTTAATACCAGTAATACTTTTTTTGAGAAATTATTACCAGCAGTACAGTTTTGTTAAAGAAAATGTTACCAGCAATACATTTAAAAAATATTACCAGCATTATATTTTTGGAGAAATATTACCGATAATACATTTTTATATAAAATAAAATTCTTATCAGTATTAAATAACCCATTGAGGTTGATATTCTGTAAACCAAACCAAACCAAACCAAAACAAAACAAACCAAACCAAACCAAAACATTATGGAAGTGTAAAGATAGGTTTTAATACCAGAAATACTTTTTGTAAAAAATTATTACCACCATTACATGATTACCAGCAATACATTTTTGAAAAAAATATTATCAGCAATAGATTTTTGAAAAAAATATTATCAGCAATAGATTTTTTTGGGTGACCAGATGTAAGAGGTGATGTGACTTAGAAATTATCTGACAATCATGACTGGGTTTTCCTGCTTGTGTTGCATTGTGCAGAATCATGTTGCCAGACATAGGGTATTCCAGCAGCCACCCACTTTACCCAGGACATCACTATCTCCTCAAGAAACTTGATATAAGCCACCATTGAGGTTGATATGCTGTAACACAAAAACCAAACCAAACCAGCTGTTGGTGTAAATCGTATTTCCAGTCTGAGCGACGTCTTTCCACCTCTCAATATTCATGTCTATCATCGTCATTCCCCTTATGTAGACTCCCTTGACGCGAAGATGAGATCGCTTTCCTGCCCTTTTGATGGTGGCCAGTTTCGCGTACAGAAGGGCCTTCCAAATCCTCTCATCAGTAAACTGTTGCTTCCCGTGTTATGCCGTCGCGGTGAGGCGCCGCTGGAGTGTCAACTTCAGGACGCAGGTCTGTGCAGGGTTTTATGAGGGATCAGCGGTTGCACATGCAGCACCTCTCCACGCCACCGATGTCTCTCAGTAGTAGTTTTAACCATTTATATCACATATTGATTGAAGATTTTACGATTACGCAAAGGCATTAGCACCGAAGAAGATTGGTTGCACCATTCTGCAAACTGGGACGGCTCCTTCCTCTTTTTTTGAGCCGTGTCACTTCAGGACGTGGATAATAATCAAACCTCTTCATAAATCACGTTGTTTTTCCTTTAACTTATTTTAAACTCTATTTTGTCCTTGTTCTGCCATCCATTCAAACTTGGTTATTTTCCATGTTGTTACGCCTCATGAATTTTTAATTCTCTACACCCTCTTTCTTCACTCTGCAGCCCAGAAGTTTCAGTTGCCTTTTTGTATGTAAGTATAAGTATGCATTTAATTCATACTTTCCTTAGAATGTTATCGTTCCTCACATGTTCCATGCATGGTATTCTCAAGTTTCGTCAGTAGAACCACATCTCTGTCGTTTCAAGCCATTTATTTTATCTGTGAGGAAATTGTCAAATGTAGCGATATGTTTTCAGCCGATATCTTGCTAAAGGAAACATCTGAAAGATTTTACAATAATTATTTTAACAGTTATCGTCTTGACGAAGATGGTAAGCTAAGGGAAGTGAACCTCTCAAAAACCATGTCAAACGACTCTGACAAAGGGAGTCAGCTGAATGGATCGAACTTGATGAATGATATTTTTTAGACGAAAGCTGGCAGGACAAAGAAGGCTGGTTAGTTATAAGACAGAAATTGTCCAGCATTCACTGTCATTTAGGAGATTAGATATAACATTGAAACTCAGCACTCTTTGTTTCTAACAAAATATTGCTATGTTTTAATATATTGTTTAGTATCTGGAAAGCATATTTCGCTATCAACTATGCATCTATGGATTTCTATCATCTGTTACGATACTACCTAGATTTCAAGTGCTCGGTTTTAATGTCCCTAATACGTAGCACTCATATTAAATTGTTGTTTTTTTTGGGTTGATAACTATGCATTCTGACCTTTTACTGCTAATGGTTCTTTCTTTTACTTCCGTATCTAATAATTCTTTCAATTTTATTTCAGAGTCTGCGATCAACATAGTGTCATCTGCGTATTTTCTTATGAGGCGGCGTATCCCTCTAGGAGGGAGGCGATTAGTCTCACCTCAACTTCTTCTCCTTTGTAGCGCTTAGCAAAGCTTTCCTTTTGACTATCCCACCCATTCCCTGTTCCGCAATCCGTTTCCACAAACTAGTTAGCTTGCTGTTTTCCTCTGCCCCTTCTGCCCTCATTATGTCCCATGAGTCTCAAATTCTCCAAGTCCTCTTTTCTCACTATGTCTCCCAGCAATTTCAGTCGTCTCCTTTTAATTTTATGTAAAATTGTCCTTTTCGTTTTCATTTTCTTTAAAACTTCCTCTTTACTAAACATTACTCAGTACGGCACAAGGCCATGTGGAGTGACGTAAAGGTTTTAATACAATATTAACATTCTGCGGGCTTACGGCCATATCGAGTTGAAACACCGGTACCCGTGCGATCACCGAAGTTAAGCAATGTCTAGCCTGGTCACTAACTAGATGGGTGATCGTTTGGGAATGCCAGGTGTCGTAAGCTTGAATATGCGGGTGTTCTAAAATATAAATCAGTGAGCTGAGTTCCAATTCAAGTCGGGTTCGTTATAATCACTTGGGAATGGTATGAATCCACCCCTTTCTCCAGCTATAGGTTAATTAGTAATATTTGTATACGTAAATCATCATTATCTCCCCCAAAAGTTTTCTTACAATCTAAAAATATTTTCTGGCTTTAAATAGCCTGCAAAAGGTTGATAAACCGTAAAAAACAAATCACTCAGTCAACAATCTGCAGTATAAGTTTGCTAACCACTATACCACGACGAAGCGTGTTACGCATATATGCTTATGACTTATTGCTGTCAGTCGTAGATATTAATATAAATAAATGAAAATAAGTAATAGTGTAATGTCAGGAAGAAAAAGAATTACTATTCACTAATTTGATGAAATAGAAGAAATGTGAATAATTGAGATCAATCATTGTGGTCTTATTTATAGGCCATGATTTCTGCATCTATTTTCATCTCTTATCCCTGGCCCAAACACAGACACTGCGAGAGACACTCATGGAAGACAGATACACACACACAATCAGTTCATTAGGTGAAAATAGAGCCAGAAGAATTCTTGATGTAACGAGAGAGAAAGAGGGAAAAAGTAACAGAGATCTTTGATGTAATATAACGTATTATTTAGTGTGGATAAGAGTAGAGCATCAACGAAGTAGGTTGCCGTGTCATAAAAACAAGAAAGGAAGTTTGAGTGTTTCTTTCAAAAAACAATTGCAGTCTGATGTGCAGTCATTAACAAAGTTGAGACCAGTTAGCTGTAACAAGGTGCATTTTTTGCATTATTTAATATGAGATTGCATGGTTCAATGGGGTTTTGTTATTGCATCACTCATTATTCACACCTGATTTATGGTGATTTAATAAGCGTAGCTTAGGTATGGCACAAGGCCAAAATTATTGGACACCCAGTGAGGATCGAACTCACTATTGATATGGTCTAATTGATCCGGCGAGGCAAGTTTGCTAACCATTGCACAACGGCGAAGTGGCACTCACACATGATTTATGGTAAAATAATGTTTGTCACTGCCAAATTAGCAGGGTGCGATGGGTAAATTGTCGTCATCTTATATTTCTTATTTCGTACATGCGCGTTTTTTATTTTGTCGACTGCACAGTATAGTAGGATCAATTAAGCGTTGTCTGTCAGAAAAATGGTATCATGACGCAATTCACTCCGCCAGAAATTTGGAAGCGGCATACGAATATTTCAGAGTGTTTTGATGTCAATCTGAAGACAGTGCAGGGGATTTAGAAAGAGTTGGATGAGTCTAATGGTGATTATGAAGGTGTTTGATGTGATCACTAGTGATGCCTCCATTCATCTTCTTAAAGGGCCTTAGACTCAAAACGGTGACCTACATCAAGTGCCTTGACGAGATAGTACTGTTCTGAGTAAAAGGGGTGGCTGCTGGAAGACCCTATGTCTGGCAATAGGACTTTGCACCATGCAACATAAGCAGGAGAACCCAGTCATGGTTGTCAGACAATTTCTGCGTCCACATCACGTCTTACATCTGGCCACCTAATTCCCCAAACTGCAATCACCTTGATTATTATGTGTTGAATGCAGCTGAGCGCGAGGTCAACAAATCTCCTTGTCGTACCAAAAATGAACTGAAGGCAAGAATTATGGCAGCAATCATCAACTTAAACAATGAAACCGTCCAGAAGTGTTGCAGGAGATTACGAAGTCGTCTGGAAGCCGTAGTTAAAGTAAATGGCGATTTTATTGAATGAATTAACTCTTTAGTATTTCAAGATATTTTTGTGTAATTTTGGTAAATATATCTGTTAAAATGTCAGTGTTATTTTTCTTTTTGCGTAATTTCGACGACCCTTTATCTATCGCACTCTGTATGTGTGTATTGAATTAGATCTAGAATATGGGTAAAAAATCCCCACTTTCCACCTAAATGAATTGTGGTTCTATGCGATGAAGGCGATTCTGAACGTGAGATTAGCGTAAAAGTAGGTCGCGGGAAACAAATGTATACATTACAATCATGAATTTCCAAATATCGTCATGTGTAAAATTGTGTCAGTCTGCCATAATTTACTTGTTACTGTGTTGTTTTTGAATTTTAGTAAAATTACAATGTGGTTTTAAACTTTTCTTAAAAACTATACAATAAGAAACAAAAGTAAAAATAAGTTAAAAGAAAATTTTGATGGGAAGCAAATATTATGTAATTTATTTTCTGCAGATTACAATTTAAAATCGAATTACCGCCAATAATCTTAAGGAGTAACAATCCACAACGAAATAAAGGCCATATTAATTTTAAGCCAGTCAGATGTCAACTGGTTACTGTCAATAATTTTAAGAAGATTCGTCATCATTCCAAGAATATTTCAGACGACTAAATCAATTCTTTGCGTTACTTTCATGTGCTCATCCATCTACTGTTTTGTTCAGGAATACAGTCCTCAGCGAAATCGAGGCGGGGTTGGATTTAAACCACTTGGATGCATTGCTGTCATTTGTTTGCCGTCAATAATTTTTATAAGATTCGTTGTCATTCCAAGGTCATTTCAAGCTACGGAATCTATCCTTTGTGTTTCTAACAGACACTAGTCGATTCTACTGCTTTTCTTCAGGAGTAAAATCCACAAGGAAATCGAAGCAGGGCTGGATTTAAACCAGATGGGCTCATCGATGCCAAATGGTTCCCTTGTTAGGTGAATCTGCCCCAGTTGTGCCAAATGTACACAAACAACACATAACATAATCTTAACATTTCAGGTTTTACAGAGAAGAGCAACAGTCGTTGGAAGTCTTAAAATATATCTGTTTAAGCTGTTATATTTTGAAATCTTTAAAAGTTGTATTTGAATCAAATATGTTAATTAGGCAACAGCATAAAAAAGTATTTCACTATAACAGTTTAAAAAAACATATGAATATGTATGTATAACATCTACTCTAAACCTGGTTACGAAAATAGCAGAGCTGGATACCAAACCGTTAATTTTTTTTTATTTTAGAATGGAAAATCAAATTTTTAGTCAACCTGAATAGAAATAATCAATGAAATCATTAATTCCAAAATTATATATATTTAAGGATGTGGACTCTTACGTTAAAAATAATATTTGCGACATTATTGAAACAAAGCAAGTTCAGTTGACCATTGATGACAATTCCAGAACAAAGTAACTATAAACAATTTTTTTTGCTATCCTCTGCCAGCCGCAATGATGGAGAAAGCATTACCTCGAACCATCGCCAATGAGACACGCTGCAAGAGCCGCTCCGTTTCGCGAGGCTCGCTCCTTAATCGAGACGCAATCGCGCCAATCCTCCGAAGGAACGCCATTGAACCGTTAATTAATTCGTTGATTAACAAAGTTGCCATTTTCGTTTGTGATTTGACTTTGAGAATCATCACAAAAAGTTAACTTCGTTAACAGTCAATTCGTTAACCAAAAAATTAATTTCGTTAAGCATTAATCAGTTAGCTCTTTTATAACTTTTCATTGATAACTTCCGTTACATAAAAATGTAACGGAGTTAAGCTCCGAGCCTGCTCCTGCTGAGGTCTAGTGACACTGGCTGGTTTAACTTCGACGACATCAACAGATTCAAGTTCTTGAGATGCCATGATGGCGTTCAAAGTTGGCTTGGGGGTGTTTAATCTTTCTTGAATTGAAAATGTTAACTTGGTTAATTAAAGCGATTAAGGAATTAATATTTGGAAAAATAGGGTCTTTCAAAAACAAGTGTTTCAAACAAGCCCCGCATCTTCTGGAGAGTCTTTTTACAGAAAATAGTGGTGAACAGAAAATAACTGACGTCTAACATCCAATTTCTGAAACTTTTGAGCGAAACGTTCTGATAATAAAAACAATGCAAAAAATGAATCCCGTCACCTGAATAACGGAGTTATTTGCACAAAAGTTATCGCAGAATTTAGAAGTACAAATCTTACTGTATAAAAGAATATTATTCGAATTTAGAAGCACACGCCTTACTGCATAAAAGAATATTATTCGAATTTAGAAGTACACGCTTTACTGTATAAAAGAATATTATTCGAATTTAGAAGCACACGCTTTACTGTATAAAAGAATATTATTCGAATTTAAAAGATTTCATTTCTAAAAGATTAACCGGTGGTAATGAAGCCTGACATGATTTGAATAGCATAATTCTCCATCCATTATTGGCTGAATGAACTTTCTCTCTCTCACTCTCGCGTAGTACACCTGATCAGTCTTTTAATGTTTCAATTTATCTTCACTCTTATATAATAGGTAGTATAGTTACGTATTTTACCCTAGCATCTATAGTCGGGGTATCTGTAGCCGGGACAACTGTAATCCAGGTATCTATGATGTCGGAATTTATATTAAGAGCATCCGTAGTCGAGGCTTCTGTAGGCAGGATACGTGTAGTTTGCATATCACACGTCGCATCATCTGTCTTCTTAGAAATAAGATTAGTGCTAAGACACACAAAGAAAGAATGTTAGAGCAAAGTCTAAAATATGTCACCATATAATTACACTTTTTTTTAGATATCTTGACCCGTCAGAACATAGGTTTTCATATCTTTACATAGTCTCCTTTTCTTTAAAAATGCTATAACGACCTGAGAAATATAGTGCAGTGGTTTCCCGTTGCCTTCTCTAGAGCAGTCTTTCTCCTAAACTGACTACCAACTAAGATAGCGTCAGATAAAAATAACATTTTTCTGTCCTCGTAGCTTGAGGCAGCTTGTATTTCATGAGTGACAAGGCAAAAGGCACCTGAGTTTGTGTCTTATCAAGAGTTTGCATTTTACAAGCATACAAAAATAATAATTTACCCTTACATATAGACTATCACGTGACAACTCCAGTCGGGCAGACAAAAACAACATAAAAACCAGCTAAGAGACACTCACTTCTCATCAGGTTGCCTCGACGAATGTGCTTTTCCTTACCTCGAGAGATATAGTCTCAACATGGTTATTTCTGTGA